GATGGGCGTCCTCCACGATACTCCACCGCAAGATGGGCACCAGTCCTTAGTTTCGTGGCCAAACCGCTTCAGGTACGATCAGAAGCATCCGTGGGACTCTCGTGGGAGGGTTGCAAGTGTCCCTGCGAAATAGCTCATATACCTCGGCCTTTTCTCTCACTTGCTCTGCTATTGGAACTAGTCCAGCGATGACCAGTGCTGCGTCGTCGGACAAAGTTCTAAACGCGCTGGCGATCCTGATAGCACATAAGCGGTGCTTTGCCTCCACCCCTCGTACCTTCGGCGCATTGGACCGACCACTGTACGTGTACAGTGTGGTGCAGAAGTGAGTACATAATCACCATAATCATCATAATCACTGACTTTCGCCGCCCATAACAGCCAAACGAATAAAGCAAAGCAAAAGAACTTTTTTCCCATATCAATACACTTTATTCTTAGCAAATAGGTAATAATACCAAAGCGAAATGAGAAGTTGTCAAAGAGTGAAAAACAAAAAAAGAAAAAAAAAACTCGCATGTACTCAGTTTTGCACTTTTCGTTATTTGCATCTATTTTCGTTCTTTCAAGTTCTTATCAGCAAAAAAGCTTGCAGATTTACAGTTAAATCTCTTCTTTTTGTATTTTTGTTATACATAAATCACATTAAGACTTGCCTCTTACAAATCGAAGCAGATTTCTTCAATTCAATAGATCTATCGTGTGCTTAAAAATGAAAAATGTTGAAAATAATATTGTGTGCCTTACTGATAGAAAAGCTTGGCATAAGTCAATCGGTGGTGATCAGAGTACAAACGAGGGGGAACGTTGTGAGTTGCTGCGGACACCGCAACTCTACAGTTATACCCGATACTAAGTCAGTATGGCTCTCCTCCGGCAGACGCCGCTAATATTAAACGACACGACAAAGAGTGCGTGCGAGAGAGACAGAAAATCAGTCTGAGCTTGACGTCGGGCGCTGCGTAGCCACTAAAAATTGATTTGTTCCTTTTGGCTACAAAAATGATCCGATCTGATCCAGATTCGGCAACCAGATAGATATGGTCATTCTCTATGATTCTGCGTTTTTAGTTTACTCGAATTTGCAATATTGTGGATGCAACAGATTTTCGTCCTTTGTGTGGGCGGAAGGGGGTGGGGCGAAATTTTGAGATAAACGTTTTATAGTGAGATCTAACAGGAGTGCGGATACCAAATTTGGTTACTCTAGCCTTAATAGTCTCTGAGATTTATGAATATCCCCAGATCTGCATCCTTTGCGGGGGCGGAAGGGGGTGTGGCGAAATTTTGAAACAAACTCGTCTCGGTCCGATATATTAGGAGTGTGGATACCAAATTTGGTTGCTCTAGCTTTTATAGTCTCTGAGATCTAGGCGCTAATGTTTTACTCTAAGCAAAGCCGCCTATGCTACGTGTGTGTTAGAGAAAGACACGGCGAGAAAAAATTAAATTGTTTTCGTGATGCTGGCTATAATAATAATACGATCCAATTCAGATTCTGCAGTCTAAAAGATATGATCATTCTCTACGATTCTGCGTTTTTGGTTTTATCGTATCTTTAAAAATGTGGATGCCACAGATTTTCGTCCTTTGTGGGGGCGGAAATGGGCGGGGCAAAGTTTTGAAATATTTTTGTAGCAGTGACATATCACAGAAGTCTGGATCCAAAACATCGTTGCTCTAGCTCTTATAGTCTTTGAGCATTAGGCGCTGAAGGGGACGGACAGACGGACAGACGGACGGACGGACAGACGGACAGACGGACGGACGGACAGACAGACATGGCTCAATCGACTCGGCTATTGATGCTGATCAAGAATATATATACTTTATAGGGTCGGAAACGATTCCTTCTGGACGTTACACACATCCACTTTTACCACAAATCTAATATACCCCAATACTCATTTTGAGTATCGGGTATAAAAAGGGCGAAATGCTGTCCCCAAACCTCAAGTCCAAGGCCGCCCTAAGAAGTTAACGGACTCAGACGCTAGACTTATGATGTCGGAAATGAGAAAAAATAAGTTGCTAACGCCAAAGAATGCTTCTATGGCCATAAACAAAAATGTTAGTTGCAGGACTGCTAGAAGAGCCCTTCGCAACATTGGGTACATGGTAGCCGTTAAGCAAAATAAACCTGCGTTGTCGGAAAAAAATGTTAAGGTTGAAATAAAAATTGGACCACGGATGATTGGAAACGTGTTACCTGGTCTGATGAATCAAAGTTTAACCGTTTTCAATCGGATGGGAAGCAGTACAGTTGGCGCAGGCCCGGAGAGAAACTTGAAAGACATCATGCCAAGCAAACTGTTAAACATGGCGCTGGAAATATTATGGTTTGTGGATGTTTTACATGGTGGCACGTTGGTCATGCGAAAAGAGGACTACTTAAACATTTAGCAAACCCATTTTCCCAATTTTCTGGAGAAATGTGCTTATTCCGAACCACAAATAACATTTCAACAAGATGGGGATCCGAAGCACACTGCGAAAATTGTTAGAGAATGGCTGGGAAATCAAAATTTTAAACTGATGGAATGGCCAGCTCAAAGTCAATCCGATTGAAAACTTATGGTCAATCGTGAAACGACGGCTCGGTCAGTACAAATTAGCCCCATCCAACCTAGGCGATCTCTGGAGCCGCGTAGAATTGGAAAAGCTATTATTGAGAATTTGGTAGAGAGTATGCCAAACCGTGTTAATAAAGTAATAGCTAATAAGGGTCTATGGACAAAATATTAATACGATGTTATTTTCTTTGATTTTTGTAAAAGTGCAAAACTGAGTACATGCGAGTTTTTTGAGTATGTACTCACTTTTTCACCTCACTGTATGTAATTGAGTGTAATAAGAGTATGCAAAATGTATAATATAAGAGAAAGTATAATGTTTGTATATAAGAAAATACCAACAAAAAATATAAATTATTAAAATAAATACAATTAGTCTTCGTCCAAATATTTCAGGACGACATTTTGAAAGTCAGTCCTCATCCGCAGTTTCTGGCTTGCTGACAGCGAGCTCGGCATCAAAGGTATCAAACTTTTGAAAAATAGCAAATCGTCAGATTCTTTGTTGTTGCTATTATTTTCTATTTTCTCGATCTCTTTCTCTTTTTCGATCTCAATAATTTCATTGTCATTGTCTTCTTGTCGTTGCTTGGACGGTCCTGCCTTTTCGAAGTCATCTTTTGCACTTCGCACCGTCATAATTTGAGTCGTATTGTCACTAAATGCCATTGATTTTTCGTCCATTAGTCCGCAGGCGTCTCCACCGAAATCATCCTTCAAAAAATGCATCAAATTGAAATATTTAAACTTCGAAACGTGAGACTCCGCTGCTGCTGCTCCTGATGCGAGTTTTGACACATTTCGCTGAGCCTTGCGATATTCGTCTTTCAAATATTTAAATTTTTTTTTGCACTGCTCCGCTGAAAATAAAAATATGGAATGTTTCAGATATTTGTCGACTGGTATTTCCACCATACTGCACAGAGCACAAAAAAATTGCAAGTCGAGTTTTCTCAATTGTATTGGGGCCACTGATGCCAAACATTGCCGAATAAAATGACCGAAAAATTCTGGCTCGTATTATTTTAATTATAAAAAATCATTATTGTCATATTTCCTTACTAAAACATACATAAGTCTTATTTGTTCATTATAATTATTATTAACCACACTACTATTTTACCCTATTATTCTAAACTTGACTTTACAAAAATTTATCATCTAAATACTTAAATAAAAAATAACTCAAATACATTTTGCCCCACTGTCTATTTTCTTTTCTTCTTGCTAATCTTTTTCACTCCTCATATATGTACATACATGAAGATAAATGCACATACAAAAAGTCAATAATAAAACGTACCTGGTTTCCCCATTTTATCTGCAATCGCCTGCCATGTTTTTTCCAAAATTAAACGATTGGAATAATTTGTATGGTGCTTATTCCACACGACCGGGCTTACCGCAATTTCACTTAGCAACTTTTCGCAGTCCATTATCGTTCAGTACTGACATCAGATCGATCAAACTGAGCTGAGCTGATTTCAGCGAGCTTTTTCAGCTCAGCTCGGAGCAGTGTTTGTTTTTCCAGAGCTTATAAATAATCTTTCAGCTCCGGTTTCAGCTCCGATTTCAGCTACAGTGTCCGCGCTACAGGCAAGAAAACGTACGCGCACACACAAATACATATGTACAAAGAAAAAAATCAGCAAATTATTGTATTGCTTCTCATTCTGTCTAGAGAGGGAGCGAGAAAAAACCCGATATTTTCGGATCTGACACAGCATAGCTTACGATACTTGCTTCGTTTAGTCCGCTTTCAGTCGATGTAACGATTCGATGTAACGAGAAAGCTGAGACGCTGATTCTAACTGACCGAACGGAGCGAATATCGGAGGACAAGGACCAAAACTTTTGTATGTAATAGAGGGATAGAGAGAAGCGACATTTTATAAAATCCTTGATACATCATGATCGCTTACGATCATTCGAACAAATTGGTACCCCTATTCTCTTTGAGTACCAGTTACATACATGTAAATAAGATATCCTTTAAGATATCCGTGGCAGGCTGTATGGTGAACTTTTTCGAGCTTCCTAGATAGTGATTATTTCTCGTAGATATGTAAATCTGTATGCAGACATAAACATAGACGTGTTGGTAGGTGACCTCGCGTGTCTAATATACGCCCTTACAGCCACTGCCTGCAGCTGTTGGCTGTGCCATTGAGATGTTTGAGAGCAGAGTGATCTGAAAATCATAAATTTGTATAAATGTTTCGGCGGGGGCGTCTCTAGCCCAGTGTCTCTGTCAGTGTTTCGAGTGTGTAGTGGTGAATGCTGCTGTGCGAGCATGCCTGGGACTGTGACTGTGACTGTTGAATCGGTGCCAACAACTTGACACAGCGCCGTCTCCCAGCGCTCGACGACATCTCGACAGTTGCAATTCGGGCGTTGCGGTTGGAACAACGCGTAGTCAGAACTAAATTTTTGTTTTGCTCTCCGCATTCCTGTTTTCGGTCTGACTATTCGCTGGCATACTGTGCTTGGCTTTGTGCGACTCACGGGAGTAATTAATTGACAAGTTGTTAAACATATTTATGAAGTACGGGCCGGCATTTAAATTATCCGTGTTCGGAGCTAAAAAAATTAACAATTAAAATCAATTAAGAGCAGGAGTGAAACACAGCCAAATCAAATTTAAACACAAATAAAGCGATGCCGGGAAGGAAAAAAGTAAACACCGCAGGTGGTAGTGGATGGGCGTGGGGATGCCATTGCGGCTGTATAATTAAAAATTAATTTGCCGCACAGACAACAGCAAACACGAGTGTTGCAAGTAAATGTAAACACTCGCATATACATATTTACATATACGCACGTGTGTACAAATCTATATATGTATGTATGTATGTACTATACATACATATGCATGAGTATGTGCAGGCATGACATTTAATGACACGGCAAATAAAGTACACGGGAAGCAAAACTCGACTGTTGCTTCGCGACTTGCCCAGCCCACCTAGTTTGTTGAACACAAGTAATCAAAGGTCATCACGACATATACACATGTACATACATACGAATTGTATATACAAATTCTTCGTCGGACACCATGCAGAAAATAACACAAATCTATTTTGGATTTTCTGTTTTCTCTTTGGTTTTTAATTTTTATATTGCTTTTCTGCCGATTTTCATACCCAGTACTGCTCGTACAGGAGTAGACTACGTGCGCAAGATTTTTTGGTGCTGATTTTCCTGAGACTTCTTAAGCATGACGATAGCTCTATGATACAAGAAAATAGCTTTACTATACGCATATGTCTAGGCAGAACGAATCCAGTTGATCGCAGCGCACTTCATTCCAAATTGAAGAGTATTAAGATGAGATCTTTTTCATCACTGAAATCATACCGATCGCATAGTATGTTACCAAGACAAAGGCAAGGAAATTATCGATTTAGGTGTAGTCATCTCATTCTAAGACTGATGCCTTGCAGTATAATTCTACACCTCTAGAACTATGAGCACAAGATTGAACTCTCAACAACCGATATCCCTTGTTCGAAATATTGGCTGTGGTATTCGAGCGTGTGCCTTTCTTTGTTGTGATGGCATGAATTTGAGGAGGGAAATCAGAATCGTGCCACAGCTATGCCCCACCACTGCGCACTGGTCCGCAATATTGTTCTTTGTTTTATTTATAACGGGGCGCATCGTGTATAGGCAAAGATATAAATAAGTCGGATATGAATGAATCCGAATACGATATGGAGGCGTTGATATGGCAAAAGTTTGGAAATGGATTTTCAGCCAAGCACAAACAAACGCATATGAAAAATGATCATGAGTTATAATCAGATCGGAGGAGAGCTCCGTGCAACCAGATCGAACTTTGTTTTTATCTGATAGATTAGGGGTTCCAAAAATGTATTGTGGTAACTAGTAAAAGTCATCTACATCTACATCTATATTAAAGGTACATCCATATTTAATGATGATTCTATATGTATATCTCGTCAGATCGTCCGATTTTAAAATACGGCTCTTTTTTTACTTTTTGCTCTGCGTTGCCTCAACTGATTGGAAAATGCTTCGCGTGATTTTTGTGCAGAACTTGATCAAGCACAACTAGATTCACTAGAAACTTTATATATAGAGGTGCAGTCCTTGCATATCAACGTCCAAAGGTAGAATACATGTATGTCTGATGAGATGAAATGACGGATTGTCATAACTGGGAAGTTCACTTCATCAGAAGTAAACCATATGATACACCGAGCTTTGAGAAATTCGGTACTTCTACATCGGAATATCGAATTTCTTTTACTTAAAATACTATGAATTTCGAATGGCCAACGTTCCGAACGGGATGTGAATTTGGGAAGGTTGTTCAAAAGGCTGCAGCTTAGCCAATCAACCATCGATTATAAACGGTACCTTAAACGACACCCAATTAGCGTGTCTATTCAAATAAACTAAAAAAAACAACAATAGCTAATTTATTTTGACTTTTCCCGTGTTTTTAAAGTCCACATTTATGTAAAATGTTCGCCCAAAATTACCGATGTTTCATTTGAAAGCTTTATATTTCCCAAACGGTAAGCTTAAGCTGAACAAATTACAAGGCTGTTTAACAGCTGCGTTCATTAGTTTTTCTGAATTGCAAAGTTCTTCAAATCAAGGTAATTATAATTCATAATTCATTCAAAAAAATGTTGGAGCCATAAGACTATCAGAAAAAGTCACTTTGATGGCAGGAAAAAAACGTCATTAGTAGGTACATGTTTAGTACATTAGTATGAGATGCACTGAGAGAAAAACGGCAAAGTAAAAAGAAACACACCCATATTTTAAATACAAATATGGTGAAATTAAATTTACTTTGATTTAAATGTAAATGTGGTCAAAAGCTGTTTAATGCGGCCCATATTCAATGCAAATAAAAACACTTTATCATAAATATTATAAATATATTTTAAATTTGTAGGAAGTACTCATATAAATAAGAAAATATTTATTTGAAATATATTTTCATATTAATATTAAAATTTAATGGGAGGGGATATGTGCAGTTAGCCCAAATATAACTGAATATGTAACTCAAATGGATCTTGATCCTAGTATAATACCAGGTATAGGCTGCTACTTAAGTTTCTCGCTTTACTATAAGAAAACAAACTTTGGTAGTTGAAAAATGGTTTTATTTAGCTTACAAATATTCTCCAAGAAGATTAAGATACATACTGAGCACTGTGGCACTCAAAAGGAGGTGTTTCGAAAACAAGTCTTCATTAGCCGTTGACCATTATATTTTTTTTTTTAGCTGGAAACAAAAAGATGCTTCATTTTACATGTAAGGAAATGTCTGCAAGGCAGATGACTCCTTAATGCGATATTTTGGGTGGCTTGAAAATTCTACAACAACTTCCGACTAGCCCGTGATCCTGTAGGATCTTATTGATGGACGTCATACTAAGGTCCAAGAATTCCTCAATGTCACGGTATATGACGTGACTATTTGATCGAAATGTGACCTAGACCTGAAACTGAAATAGCAGCCCTCGTAAAACTGGAGGGGTTCAATAATTTCCGACAGGCCTATATGTTCAGTTTGCAAGTCTTAAGGTTAATTTGTTCGGAAGTGATTTCAAATGAAACCAGGAAAAATCATAGTTGAGACGCATACATATATGTGTACAATATGTAGGTATGTATGTATATATGACATTCATAGATTCCAATTAGGAAGAAGAACACTTGGCTATGAACAATAAAAGTATTCTTCATTGATAAAGAAATATCATTTCTGAGTGCAAGGGCAACCGTCGTATTGCACTGTATTTGAATTGAAGAGAGGGAGACCATTAATATATGTATTATACCTTTTGGAAAAAAGGTAGCGTGATAGGAGTAGATATATAAAGCTCTAGGATTTTATTTATTTTATCGATTTGGTGGCAAACTATCTTAGGAGAAACGATAATTAAGAGAGCGAAATATACTCGGTACGAGTGAAACTATTAGGAGCTCAGGACTTTTTTCTCTAGCCAAGATAAAGGCTAAAACCTTGATCTGTTGATTCATATGGATGTGTGCATAAGGCAAAGTGGGAACATCGCACACCTATTGGACACGGTTGATTGCTATTTAATTGCCAGCTGTTAACAGCAATAGTCGTAAAAGCTTGATTTCGAAAACCAACGACCAGTCGATGGCCAGACGACAGACGGCATGGGACCGAGTGATTTATGAGGGTGTGCATGGGACAAATTAGAATACAATTAGCAGAGGATGGCTCCGAATTCCATCGCCACTAATGAGCACTTTTTTTCTGCGGCAGATCCACCACAAAAGCAACAAGGCTAGGCATCAGCGGCACCAGAAGGCGGACAGGGACAATAACAGTGAGCAGAACACGCCTGAGAAGGAGTCTGAGGATGGGCCCAACTCTGACGCCTTCCACATTGCACAGTCCGAGATATATGGCCGCTATCTGGTGGCTAGCCGCCAGCTGGAGGCGGGCGAGCTGCTAATCACGGAGGAGCCACTGGCAATCGGGCCCTGCGTGAGTGGAGATGCGGTGTGCCTGGGCTGCTACCAGCCGGTCGGACTCGGGCGGGAACAGTACCGGTGCCCTGGGTGCGGGTGGCCGCTGTGTGGGGCCAGCTGCCCGGGCCTAGGCCGGCGCATTGGTCACACTACTGAGGAGTGCGCTCTGTACGGAGAGCGTCGGCCGGCGGCCGCCGAGCTTCTTAACGATCGCACTAGTCCGCCAAGAGTGAGGGACCTATACGAGCTGGTGATGATCGTGCGGATTCTGCTGCTGCGCACGCATGCGCCAGAGCAGTACGCGATGATTACCCGGATGGAGTCGCACACGGAGGAGCGGCGCAAGAACGAAAAGCTCTGGTCACACTACGAGCAGAAGGTAGTGCGGCGGCTTCGTGACGAGTGGAAGCTAGATGATCTTGCAGCGGAGGAGGAAGCCCAGGCTGTGCACGAGATCTGCGGAATCCTCGACGTCAACTGCTTCGAAATCGGGCAGAAGGGGGCCAAGGCGCGAACGCTATATCCGAGCGCCTTCCTGCTCGCGCACGACTGCAGCCCGAACACTGCGCACACGGACGACCCCCGGTCCTACGCCATCCTGTTGAGGACATCGAGGCGCGTGCGCGAGCAGGAGGCTTTGACGCTCAGCTATGCGTACACGCTGCAGGGTACCCTCAAGCGGCGCTCGTTTATGTACGAGGGCAAGCTGTTCTGGTGCCGTTGCCAGCGATGCGCCGATCCGCAGGAGCTTGGAAGTGACTGCAGCGCGCTTGTCTGCCGATCCTGCCTGAAGGGCACGGTCCGGGCGGTCACGCCTCTGGAGCAGACTGCCGACTGGGCGTGAGTAAAGCGGGTTGAGTTGAGTGGGTGAAACGCCGGGGCTAACAAACTTACTATCTGGGCAGCTGCGATCGCTGCGATCATCGGACGAAGGCCCTCGACCTGGAGAATCAACTGGATCGCATCAATAACGATCTGGAGGCCATCGACGTTCACGACGTACCAGGACTTGAGAACTTTCTCTTACGGTGCGTATTTGCATCAGATTCACGGGATTTATTATTAATCGTTTCTAAGTAGCTATCGTGAAACTCTGCGTCCGAACCATTACCTTCTTCTGTCGGCCAAGTACTCTCTCTGCCAGATCTACGGCCGCATTAAGGGCTACCTGCTGCCCGAAATGTCGCTTCATGACATAGTCCGCAAGGAGCGCTACTGTCGAGAGTTCCTGGCTATCATCGACTTGCTGGAACCAGGCCTAACGCGTCTTAGAGGTGAGTTAGGGGTAAGCCATGTTTTCTTTTTTAAAGCCTACCCCGGTGTTTCAGGACTCATCATGTACGAGCTACACGCTCCGGTAATGGTTATGGCACAGATGGGAATGCAGAGTGGCCAGATCTCGCGGCAGGAGTTCCAGCGCCGCCTCAAGGAGGTATCCAGACTGCTTCAAAACAGTCGCGACATCCTGCTACTGGAACCAGAGGGGTCCAGCGAACACGAAATGGGCCTGGCTGCTGCCGATGCTATCACCAAAATGGGGATCTAAGCAAACTGTCTCAAGCTGAAATAAATTTTGTATATACCCTCTAAAGTTATTACAAATTTGAACCGATGTACCAGGCCGATGACTACGGCAATTCAAGCTGAGATGCCGATGTTCTTGGGACTATAAATCTGCATTATGCGATTTACACTTCTCATGTACGCAGGTCAAGATAGTTCAGTAGTTGTCTGACGGCTGAATCTAGATCAGATTGAATCATTATTATAGCAAGAAGGAACAAATGACGTTTCAGTGGCTACGCTACCCCCAGCCTCGCGGTTACTCTCTCTCACACACACTCTTCATCGTGCAGTGTGCGCGCTTTGGCGGAGATGAGCGATATAAAACAGCTGGTGTTGGTGTGAAAAAGCCAGATGTAGTGGGATAAAAAATTAGTAGAAAAATGGAAACAGCGAAAATATCTTAGAATTCTAATAAAAAAGCTAATTACGTGGAAGGACGATTAACGAGAATTGATTGGATTCACGCTCACTGCTGTAATGGGTCCTTCATACTCCTATTGTATTTTTTGCTTAAAAGGACTTTGAGGATTCCATAATTGAGAAGCAAAACATTGAATATGAAGTTTCCTCGTGGCAAACCAGAATTAGATGTCTGGACTTAAGAACTATTAGGGCAAGAAGAATCATAAGCCGAGTTCTTCGATACACTTGTGGGATATGGGAGCACAAACGACGGAAACTCATTCCGGACTTTCTTTGAGAAAGGCAGAATTAGAGAGAGAAAATAGCTTGAGTGTATAATGAAACGAAGGGGAACGTTGTGAGTTGCTGCGGACACCGCAACTCTACAGTTATACCCGATACTAAGTCAGTATGGCTCTCCTCCGGCAGCGCCGCTAATATTAAACGACACGACAAAGAGTGCGTGCGAGAGAGACAGAAAATCAGTCTGAGCGTGACGTCGGGCGCTGCGTAGCCAATGCAAATTGATTTGTTCCTTTTGGCTACAAAAATTATCTGATCTGATCCAGATTCAGCAATCTGATAGATATGGTCATTATCTATGATTCTGCGTTTTTCGTTTTCGCAAATCTGCAATATTGTGGATGCAACAGATTTTCGTCCTTTGTGTGGGCGGAAGGGGGTGGGGCGAAATTTTGAGATATACGTTTTATAGTGAGATCTAACAGAAGTGCGGATACCAAATTTGGTTACTCTAGCTTTAATAGTCTCTGAGATTTGTGAATATCCCAAGATTTGCATTCTTTGCGGGGGCGGAAGGGGGTGTGGCGAAATTTTGAAACAAACTCGTCTCGGTCCGATATATTAGGAGTGTGGATACCAAATTTGGTTGCTCTAGCTTTTATGGTCTCTGAGATCTAGGCGCTAATGTTTTACTCTAAGCAAAGCCGCCTATGCTACGTGTGTGTTAGAGAGAGACAGGGCGAGAAAAAATGAAATTGTTTTCTTGATGCTGACTATAATAATAATACGATCCAATTCAGATTTCGCAGTCTAAAAGATATGGTCATTCTCTACGATTCTGCGTTTTTGGTTTTCTCGTATCTTTAAAATTGTGGATGCCACAGATTTTCGCCCTTTGTGGGGGCGGAAGTGGGCGGGGCAAAGTTTTGAAATATTTTTGTAGCAGTGACATATCACAGAAGTCTGGATCCAAAACATCGTTGCTCTGGCTCTTATAGTCTTTGAGCATTAGGCGCTGAAGGGGACGGACAGACGGACAGACGGACGGACGGACAGACGGACAGACGGACGGACGGACAGACGGACAGACGGACAGACAGACATGGCTCAATCGACTCGGCTATTGATGCTGATCAAGAATATATATACTTTATGGGGTCGGAAACGATTCCTTCTGGACGTTACACACATCCACTTTTACCACAAATCTAATATACCCCAATACTCATTTTGAGTATCGGGTATAATTATCGAAAGATTGGGGGTCATTTTGAAAACTCAACACTGCAAGGAAAAAATTCACACCGCAAATTTGAAGACGGCAGAACTCTTGCTAAAAACATATCCTGAAAAGCAGCTTACTCCAACGCTTCATAGATGTTGGGACATAGTCAAACTTTAATTGAAGATGATTGCCTACCTGTTGAAGAGATGTCCTGCTGGCAGCCATTTCAGGTCCATTTATTTCGTCCATTGGACATGCAAAGTCCCAAAACGAATTAGCAAGTAATTATCCTTACGAAATATTAAGTTGCTTCCAATTTGAATGAATTTTTTACAGAACACAAATAATTAAACAAACTTTTGGAACACAAAATCCTTTTTTAGTTTTTGTAAAATTAAATGAAGTAAAAAAGTAAATATATAAATATTATGTATAAGGGTGCAAGACCCCTGTGCACTCACTTCACTCAAGCGCTGACCCCTCAATAAATGCCTTAGTACTAAATATTTCGTATGCGACCCAAATAGGTATGACTCATGAAAACATCTTTATTCGTTCAGAAGTTATCAATTTGGCAAGCTGAAATGGCCGAAGGACCTTCTATGCGGCGCTTGAATTGATGGTCGGGAAAATGTTGACATTTTTTTGATTTTTATTTAAGCAGTGCTCAAAACAACGTCTTCTTGGAATTCCGCATGCACACTCATATAGAGAATAAACACGCAATCATATAAATAGCTTCACGTGATATGTACTCTCTTGATGTTTTGTACATTCAGCTTTAAAGAAATTGGTTACTGCATTTAAATTGCATAAAATTGCACACATCGACTTCCAGTCATTTGTGTTATGTATCTGGTGAAAGGTATCTGGTGGTATCTGGTGGTGGTATCTGGTATCTGGTGCACTTGCATTGCCTGAGGATAACCTTGCTTACATTGAGAGCCGAGAAATAGTGGAACAACTCTTGGCACTTTGTGTTGATTGTGAAGAAGATTAGTTAATTAATTAATGTTTTTGTCCTTAGGCCTTAGGCTTGACTAGTACTATTTTGATGTTGTTCTACATTGCTTAGATTAACCTTGTGTAATATATAACGTTATATACACGTCAGTAAGGGATTGTTTGGAGGGGATGTCGAGGTGACTGCCGGTTGGGATTCTCTGGGTCCGTGCTTATTCGGTAACTTGGGGGTTCGTTTGACCGCGTCTCGAGTACTACCACATAAACTTCAAAAATAGAATCCTGTGAGTCTACTGGAATGGTAGGCGACCCACACGATTCTGTTTAGATACATATATGTACATATATATAAACGATAGGGTATATGAATATGATACATATAAGAAATAATGAAATTAATATATATGTAAATAAAAATAAAAATCAGAAAAAACTATCAAAAGCATCGGAAGTCAGCCCAGCGATCCGTAATGAAGATCCAAAACGAAATTAAATATATATATATATATATATTTTTTTTTATTAGTATACTTATCGGTTAAGCTACAATGCATTAGCGAAATGCATGCAATGCGAGCATTGTTCGAATGTTTTGTAAGTTTTAATTTTTTTTTCTTTTGCCAACCAGCAAAATAAATTAAGTTTTGGGAGCTTTCACTGGTAGCGCTGCTATCGAGGCAGGACTGTCACGCGGAGGTAAATAAAATTTACATATGAAAAGCAGAGTTCAGAAGGAACCAAAAAAAAATTAAAATGAATGCTGATGCTACAAAATCTTAGTCCGGAGCCGGAACGGCTTCGTCTAGGCCGGCGCAGAAAGCGAATTAGCGGAGCACACGGGGTCTGATCTCTATGACCCCTATGCACCGCAACAGCAAGCCGCATGGGTTATGGATGGCGCAAGGTTATGGCCTGTGGAGGTTATGTAACCGGGTGGGTGAAATTTCCCATCGATTTTTTGTGGTCTCTACCTAGCGTCTTGACATTTTTTATTTGCGGTGTGTATGTGTGCGTCGGTGTGTATGAAAGGGAAGGTAATATTGATCTCTTGTGGTGTATGAAGGTGGATCGGAAGTTGGAATCTGATGCTCTGTGAGTCCTGCCTCAGTTTCGCATAGGGCATCTGCTATTTCGTATCGGGTTTGTATTGTTTCAAATAATATTGCGGGATAGCTAGGTTTACTGTTTCCTTGTATACTTATGTTAGAGCTGTGAGGTCTGCCTTTGTTGGAATGATCTGCCAGATGCTCAAAGGATTTCCAGTTCGCTTTGCGGGTAATGAATCTAGGTATAATTTTTATTCGATTACTGTAGTTTTGCCGAAAAAGGCTTATGAGTATGGGGAAATGGTTGCTGCCTGATAACGAATAATCGATATCCACCGAAGTGGCAAGTGGGTCCCTGAGGGATATACCATTCCCAAGGGTATCTAAAATATCATTTATTTTTCAGGTCAACAAAGTGATTCTGCCATTTGCGAAGCGTGCCTAAGTGATCGACGTGAAATATTTCAAGAAAGGCTGCCATTATTTGATCCAGAAACAATGCCTTACTCCTGTCAATAAGGCATCGATACCCTCCCTCCCAGTGCCAAAGGAAGAAGGCTACGCCAAGGGTACCGCCAGCTTCCAGGAGGTTTACCGATCGTTGCCTGATGTGTTGAGTAACGAAACGATTGATTCTATGTCCCCATCGGTGGCCCTCAATGCGGTTCTCCATTTGGTCACCGATATGAAACTGCGACTCATTCCACAAGAGAATCTGGAGGATTTTCAAATCCGCAAGTTCTGGATGACGACGTTTAATAACGAGCTTCAAAAAAAACTGAATTGTGATACAATGCTAGAAGTAATCCATCTTCACACAATTTTAAATATATTTTCATGCAACAAAACATACAAAAAACTAAACGAAACGATTCAGGACTCTTCTCCAATGTGTTCTCGAATGATTTTTTAATTCCATCTCTCAAGTCCTCATATAAACAATAAATTAATATTTTTGAGAGCACACGTACCTTTATGAACCTTTTTTTGGGTTTGTTGTACGTGGAAGAAGACGCCACTGGAAAGCATGCCCTAAGCAAAATGGTGAAATTTTGAAGTCAACTTGTAACAGATAGATCTAACAGGAGTGTGGATACCAAATTTGGTTGCTCTAGCTTTAATAGTGTCTGAGATCTGTGGATGCCATAGATTTTCGTCCTTTGTGTGATCGGGGCGATCTTTTGAAATACACTTGTAACAGTGACATATCACAGAAGTCTGAATACAAAATATCGTTGCTCTAGCTCTTCCAGTCTTTGAGCACTAGGCGCTCATAGGGACGGACAGGACTCAATCAACTCGGCTATTGATGCTGATCAAGAATATATATTCTCTATGGGGTCGAAAACGCTTGCTTCTGGACGTTACACACATCCATTTTCACCCCAAATCTAATATACTATAGACCCCTATGCTCATTTTAAGCATCGGGTATAATAATTCATCCTTGTACCAACCTCAACTAAGATGCTTGCAAAAAATTAAACAAAGAACACACTAATACTATATTTTGAGTCCCTGGTCAGTACACCCAGGTCATAGCTATCAATATCTGAACTTTTTACATGTAGGTGTCATCTGTATCTTTTCAGATATTGTTTTGTTTTTCTAAAAAGCTTGTAGAAAAACTTTTGTCTCCGAAAATATATAATTTTCTATTTAATATGGACCAACAGGATCAGGGTAACAGACGGAAAGGGCTGGTTGAGCGCCCTAGCCCCCCTCCAAGACCGTCGCGGGGAGTGCCGCCGCCGACTCGACCGCGAGCGTTACGAGGTGTCGGAAATCAAGAGAGGCCATCCACGAGTATTAGAAGGGCTCCTATACCCAGACGAGGTCAAATGACCTCACGAGTACCAGAATCGCCCCATGAGCAGACCTTTGGCCAAGCTGATCTACCCGTAGGACAAACACAGTTAACGCCGAAAGATAAAAAAAGACGAAAGAAGATATCAGACGCTTCAAAATATAAACGCAAGTCCAGAGCAGGTTTCATTCTGAAGGAGAAGACATCGCAGATTCTCTACACCACCGATGAGGAGGTTGTCGATGGTCTCACGGAGTTTGGGGTGTTTCTAATCTTTCTTGTTATCACATCAATGGGTGAGTGGAGGCTGAATATTAAATAAATATCTGCCCAGAAATTTGGCATAATCGCTTCTCATACGCAATACTCAGATAATGTAAGGGTATATTAGATTTGTGGTGAAAGTAGAAGTGTGTAACATCCAGAAGGCAGTGTTTCAGCCCCATAAACATATCTTTTCTTCATCGGTCATGTCATCATGTCGGTCTGTCCGTGCGTCTTCACAAGCGCCTAGACCTCATGAACTATAAACTATTTACTTTAACATAGATAAGATTAGCCTTTCTGTTAACTAATAAGCAGCATGAATCTGAAATCTATCCCCTTGCGCAGAAGTTACAGAATCAAAATACCGTAAATTTACGAACATTTCAAGACTAGCTTTAAATTTGTTTTTTAATCGGCCTGTTTGACCGTAGTGAAGTGGTCGGCAGTGTTCACCAGTAAATTGGCAATTCCTTTGGCAAATTGCCAGCTGTCTACGAACACAAACGCACGTTAAAACATAAGAGGTATGCGTGCCGAAAAACGTTTCGCATATTTTTTTGCAAAGATACATATTTCATCACATTCACATTTTCGTAACTAAATGTTCTTACATAGCTTTCAAACAGTTTTCCTGGAAAAGATTGTTGAGGGACTTGTTTTAAGGCTAAATTAAGTAATTAATAAATTATTTTAAATTACCAGAGCATTTTCTTCGTCATTGAACTAACCAAAATCCCAAATGCTTAACTTTATATTTTAGTTACTGTTTCAGTGCGTCACCCGCACACTTTTCACTTCAATGAAAAGATAACAAAACTGTTTAGATTTCGCGAACGGATCATGGCTCCTTCGGTGGTAATTTCGTTTGATAAGTTGCTTACTGTCCCTGACTGGTGGGACTATTTGGAGAACCACTTTGTCATCACATTAGGCGGAGGTATGACAATATCGACCACTGGTACGTCTATATGTCCACCGACCAATTTGACAACTGTGACCGATGGGGCTGAGAATGAACAGCCCAGAAGCGGTAGACAAGAAGACCCAGAGCTATCCGACGGCATATTCGACTCCGCTGACCGAGCTGACAACTCCGATAGCATCGACCCGAACTGGAATACCAGAGAGAGCGGCAGCAGTGAGGCTTGCGGCGCTGCAGCCATCAATATCACCGCGCCAGGTCCGCATCGTGTACTACTGCAAGAGAATCTTATGCTCGGTCCACCACGCCTCCGCCAGATGCGCGTCCGCAGTGGAAGCTGCTATACGAACAAGGTCTTCGCTCGTTTTTTCAACTCCTGCTACTCCGGATTTACGCTCGCAGACGAGGACAAAACCGCAATGCACAAGGGTACACCGTATCAGACGATGTCTGAACTTGACGTCACACCGATCTGGACTCTTCTGACCTTATATGCTGGTGGCGGATACTCTATTAATCTGACCTACAACATGGATGAGAATCTAAAAAAGCTCAATAAATTAAAGGAAGTTCATTGGCTTGACCGAGGCTCGAGGTTGTGTTTGGTGGAGTTCAATCTGCACAACGAGAACATGGGTGTATTTCAGATCGTCAAGTATGAGTAAATTTCTCACCAAATACTCGAATGAGAGAGGTCTAAGCTATTCTCCCTTCTAGACTTATGGTTGAAATACCTCCGACTGGTGGTGCCATGCCGCGGACACAAATTCAAACGGTTAACAAATTTTCATTCTTCTCCGATCGTAGTCTGACCATGACTGTTATCCATATATTCTGGTATATCATGGTCTTTTACTACACCTTCTCTTTTGTCACTCACTTAAGAGAGTCCAGCTGCAGGATCTACTTAAAATCAATCCTACATATTATCGACGTCAGTGTTTTATTGGTAAGTATTACGCATACAGATTCCATTCGATCTTCATTTTACGAGTACCTCTCGTCTCGAGCTTTGCTATTTGGCTATCGTCTATAACGTGTGGCACACTTTCAAAGTAAAGTCAATAATATCTAAGGCCCAGATGAACCAGGGCTATCTGAGTCTCGATGTTCTCTGCTTGTGTAATACCATCTACGGGAAGATGATGGCCATTCTAGACTGTCTCGTATGGATCAAGATATTCAAGTTCATCACGTTCAATAAGTCATTATTTCAGTTCACGGCGACAGTGAAAAGGGTACTTAATAAAATAGTTGGAAAGTTTTCCTTAATTACTATTTGTAATCTTGTAGAGCTCACAAGACTTGCCTGGCTTCAGTCTTATATTTGGGATTGTGTGCATGACATATGCTCAAGTGGGTCACTTGCTTTTTGGCACTGAGCATCCGGATTTCCGGAATTATGTCACCGCATTCTTTACCATGATCCGTATGATACTGGGTGACTTTCAGTACAAGCTTATGGGGCAGGCCAATCGGCTACTGGGTCCCATATTCTTCGTAACCTACATTGTCATTGTAGTCTTCATATTATTGGTAAGATTGGAACTTTAATTGAACGTTTTATATATACATACTTCCATTGGGAACATGGCAATATTAGAACATGGTCATTGCAATGCTTATTGGAACCTATAAGTCTGTCAAAACTGAAGATATTACCAGAGGACAAAGTATTCTGGGCTCGTATGTTTATAAGAAGCTGTCTGCAGCCCTTTACTGGATCACCCACTGCAGACGGAAGCCTCGATTTCGGCCTGATAATGATGGGTATGCCAATGCCGCAGAAGAAGAGACTGAAGTCTTGCGAGAGAACACAGAAGCAACCGAGTAAGTTTCCATATCAACATACCTACGAGAAATTCTCACTTAATCAAATACTTTTTCAGGCCGAGTTACTTTAAGGATAATCGACCCGGAGTAACAGAGGAGGAATTGGATCGGTAAGAACTCCAAAATATTTCTTGAATCATAATATTTGATGTTCCCTTTGCATTTGTCTTTGCCCATCAGCCTAAATATTCGCTTGGATCAAATAGAGAAAATTCTAAAAAAAATTCTCATCAATATTGAAAACATACTAAAACGTGTAGAGAGATACCGTCTCAGAAGTATAAACAAAAACAGCACGGAACCAACTCTATAGATATTATGACTGATGTATTATATTATTATTATTTATATTATATTATTCACTACGTTTAGTACAGGAATTTTGATCAATTGAGGTATTCTATTCTATTATTTTCGCCATACACACGGTCAGGATACATATGTAGTTACTGGTTACTGTGTTATGTGCATAATTTGAGTACAAATTGCCAAAAAGAAAATTTACTATTTTTACCAGGGACCGCAAATAATAATTATGAGTTTAAAAAAATTGAGACACAAAAAAGCCACCAAGAAGAGTGGGAAAAATAGACATCTGTAAGTTTTTTACGGCAAACTTCAAAACAGGATAAACTTTTATTCGCAATTTTTATACCCGATACTCAAAATGAGTATTGGGGTATATTAGATTTGTGGTGAAAGTGGATGTGTGTAACGTCCAGAAGGAATCGTTTCCGACCCCATAAAGTATATATATTCTTGATCAGCATCAATAGCCGAGTCGATTGAGCCCTGTCTGTCTGTCCGTCCGTCCTTCCGTCCGTCTGTCCATCTGTCCGTCCCCTTCAGCGCCTAGTGCTCAAAGACTATAAGAGCTAGAGCAACAATGTTTTGGATCCAGACTTCTGTGATATGTCACTGCTACAAAAATATTTCAAAACTTCGCCCCGCCCACTTCCGCCCCCACAAAAGGCGAAAATCTGGGGCATCCACAATTTTAAAGATATGAGAAAACCAAAAACGCAGAATCGTAGAGAATGGCCATATCTTTTAGACTGCAGAATCTGAATTGGATCGTATTATTATTATAGCCAGCATCAAGAAAACAATTTCATTTTTTCTCGCCCTGTCTCTCTCTAACACACACGTAGCATAGGCGGCTTTGCTTAGAGTAAAACATTAGCGCCTAGATCTCAGAGACCATAAAAGCTAGAGCAACCAAATTTGGTATCCACACTCCTAATATATCGGACCGAGACGAGTTTGTTTCAAAATTTCGCCACACCCCTTTCCGCCCCCGCAAAGGATGCAAATCTGGGGATATTCACAAATCTCAGGGACTATTAAGGTTAGAGTAACCAAATTTGGTATCCGCACTTCTGTTAGATCTCACTATAAAACGTATATCTCAAAATTTCGCCTCACCCCCTTCCGCCCCCACAAAGGACGAAAACCTGTTGCATCCACAATATTGCAGATTCGAGAAAACTAAAAACGCAGAATCATAGATAATGACCATATCTATCAGATTGCTGAATCTGGATCAGATCAGATCATTTTTTATAGCCGAAGGAAACAAATCAATTTGCACTGGCTACGCAGCGCCTGACGTCACGCTCAGACTGATTTTCTGTCTCTCTCGCACGCACTCTTTGTGGTGTCACTTAATATTAGCGGCGTCTGCCGGAGGAGAGCCATACTGATTTAGTATCGGGTATAACTGTAGAGTTGCGGTGTCCGCAGCAACTCACAACGTTCCCCCTCGTTTGTTTTAAATTTATCTTAATTATTAACTTTCTCGTATCATCAAAATTGTGCATGCAACAGATTTTCGTCGTTTGTGGGGCGGAATGGCACGGGGTGAAGTTTTGAAATACACTTGTAACAGTGACATATCACAGTAGTCTAGATACGAAATGTAGTTGCTCTAGCTCTTATAGCCTCTCAGCCCTACGCGCTCATAGGGACGGACAGACGGATGGACGGACAGCACACATGGCTCAATCGACTCAGCTATTGATGCTGATCAAGAATATTTGTATGTATTTACTTTATGCGACTTTTCACCACACATCTAATATACCCCCATACTTATTTTTAGAACATATAGGGTATAAGGATTGGGAACGGTCATCGAGTCAAATACGTATTTTCTATGGTATATCTAATATTACCATCAAAATATTTCTGGCTTGCATCAGCGTCTGCATCCGGGTACAGTGGTGCAAAATATAAACAACATTTTTACTGACACGGTTGGGTTTGAGTGCGATGTGGATGGGGTGCTTGGCAAGAAGTTCCTAAAGTCGCTTGACCATTTGTACACGGCGATCATCGGTAAGTAGTAATACAAAATCCGATTTTAAATATAGATATTTAAAATATACCTACAGTTTTATTTCGGTATGTACAATACCACAAGCATTGCCTAAGGCTGGGATAGTCTTCATCCCTAAAGCAGGTAAAGCCTCTCACTCAAACCCGAAAGACTTTAGACCAATCAGTTGATCGTCTTTCCTCCTCAAAACCTTTGAGAGACTTATCGGATTGCAACTACGGACAACCATAATTCAAATTTGTCCAAATTTGTCCAACCATAATTTCAAATTTGGATTTTTGATTTGCCACTGAAGGCCTTTTGATTTTATTAAGTTTCTTAATATAAATCCAAATAATAATTATCATATCGAAACATTAATAAGAGCATAGTTGAACATATATTTCATTATATTTAATCGCCGGGTCTGAGTGTGTCGGATGAAATTTAGGGTTAGGGAAATGGCCCTTGTCTGGACGCACGCGAAAAGCCGATGTAAACGCTCTTCCGTCTGAGGAAGAATGCCACGCGATAGAAGCGAAGCTCAAATATTACAAAGATTTATAAAGTGGATGGGGATGAATGATCGTTGCTACTGTAGGTATTGTTTTTGTTGTTGGTTTGGACACGCCTCGAATGCGAACGGAGTACGCGGCTGTTCCCGTCTGCACTGCGCTCGCGTACAGTCTGACGCTCGCGTACAGTCTGACGCTCGGCCGAGGGGCTCCAGTCAAGGGCATGATGTACAACTGCACGAACAGTCAGCAGAAGGGGCTCACTGGGAGGACTATCGCAATCAGGCTGTGAGACATCCACACCCACATCACTAGCGATGGGCGAAAGCGAGAAACGAGGCGACAGAAGAAGGGGCTCACTGGAAGGACTATCGCAACCAGGCTGAGAGACATCCACACCCACATCACCAGCCATGGGCGCAAGCGAGAAACGAGGCGTCAGCACAGACGGCAGCATGTCGGTAGTCGATTGGTGGACCTCCACGGGGTGCGATGAATTAACCTCCAGCTCGCCCTCCTGCAAGAAAACACGTGTAAAGCAACTTCACATATGGATCAAAGTACACTCAAAATACATTGCGGGCAGTTTCGAAATTCTGGTTTTCCTGGTTTGCCTCGATTTGCTCCATGGTGGACATTTCTACGGTCTGCAAAAGCTGCTTAAGCTCTGAAGTTTGCATTCCTTCCACATAGACACCAGCGTCTGCGGGTAAAAGATAGATATCTTAGAAGAGTGTAAATCAGATTATGTGCACTGTACCTTTGAGTATTTTAACCATTTCGCGGTAGGATTGGCTGCGCAATTTCATTTTCTTTTTATTTGGAAAAAACACAAAACACACTAGAGACACCGATAAATACAAAAACCAGCTCGTTTGACATAGCGGCAGCTCGTGTGCTGCCTATCGTAGCTGCTTTTTAGTTTTACCATAACTTAGTGTGACCATAGGCAGTGGGGGTCAGCTGGAACATTCTGTTTTAGTTAGAGCGCGATAGGGTGAAACGGCCAATCTAGCTTAGGTTAGGTTAGCTAGTGGCGGCTGTCAGACTCTCTAGTAACCGGGTTTCGGCCCCTTGTGGGATCTTCTTAGGATCTTCGCTCTTCCCTTTATCGGGGGAGTCCGTTTCTGTGGGTCAATATTGCTGTTGTTTCATGAGTGATGAGTGACCTATGTGCTGTGGTGGCAGTGGTCGGAGTCTCTTAGACAAATTTCTGCCATTTCTGCCTGCTTAGAATGCCATTTAGCGCATAATTTGTGGTGGTGTGGAGCGCTCCACTGATGCAGAGCGCGAGCAGATGTTTGGTGGCCACCACGCTGGAACTCCGTAAAGTAGTATTGGTCTATCTATCGATAGATGTACCCATTGGACTCTTTCTTTCCAATTAAGCTTCTGTCAATTGCCAACTATGTAACTGGCACTGTCGGTGAAGTAGAGCCTCAACTGTTGTGTTGGGTGATGAGGGGTGGAGTCTTGAAATTATTTTATATGTACATATGTGCACTAGTTCTGTTTTCGAGTGATTAGCTTCCAGTCGTGCGAGCCTTGCAGTCATTACGTTGTATAGCATTTGATGGTACTTCCCCGAAAAGATAATGACAACGTCGTTCGCGTACGCCACTTCTTTACACGGTGCCACTTCTTTCTTACTCCAACTTGTAGCCGTTTTTCGCTACTCCACAGATCTTATCTGGCGCCTTCGGCATTTCATCTTGCTAAATTATTAACTTCTTAACGAAATATAATACTTTCATTAAACAAACTTTATTTTATAGAAAAAAGTGCCAAAATATAGTTTGCATTTGTACAAAGTGCTACGACGTTTGGAAGCTTAACAATTACGTGTCAAAGTTTAACTTTGTTCAGGTGCATATTTTCGTGCTAAAAACAAAATATTGTTATATTTTATATTTTATTTTTTATTTATTTTATATTTTTGGATTAATAAACCAAATCGATAACCAAAGCGGACTACGCCATCTGTTTTCACCAAAACGATTGCCAATTATTGTTATATAACTTTTTCTAATTTTTTATTTCTGTAAAATAATCATGCACATTCGAAGTAACATCTAATAATCTTAATCTTAATCTTAATAAATAATTAATCTTAATTCATTGCCGATTCATGCAAAACAGTCCGATTATCTGGCAATTATTTGAAATCTCTGGGAAATTCTCTATTGGATACGTGTGTTGATTTTATGGTCGGCTCCGCTCTCGTCCCAGCCGACTATTTGGCGCAGCGGATGCTGATTTACAGTGGTGGCTGGGCAGAACGGGCCTAGGCTTGTTCGTCCGACTTACAGATATTTATGGTCACTAAGCTGAAGCCGAAGTTGAGCTCCCTTTAGATGCTTCAATCGGAGATAGCGACTCCATATTGTCCCCCGCAACTTTACCAGTGGGTAGGGCAGCCGCAGGATTGCATAGCCACTCTACCAACGTGTCGGGTTTGAGGGTTTGCTTCAGCGCCCTTCCCCGTTCAGGGGAAACTGCTATGGAGGGAGTTAGGTCCTTGGCCTGAAGCTGGCTTTCCTTGTTTGGGATTGCAATTGGGTCTGTCACCCGATTTTGTCACTTTGAGCCAACAATTTGCTGAGAAGGGGCCGGATCCGTCCGGGTAGAGATCCACGTTGCCCGAATAGGTCATCCTTATAACATGCCCTACAGGCCCCCAGCCAAGCAGACTCCCGGCACGGATCGAGTGACACCTTGGTCCGGCCCGGTGTGGGGTGAAAGTTAGGCTGGGATATGGCTAGTTAGAGTGTAGGAATGGATAAGTCAATTGCTCTGGTAATGGTGTCAATTAAATGGTAATGCATCTTTGTTTTTTTATTTTTATACCCCATACTCAAAAAGAGTATAGGGGAAAGGCCAGAAAGAAATGTTTCCGACCCCATAAAGTATATATGTATATTCTTGATCAGCATAAAAGCCGAGTCGTTTGGGCCATATGTTTTTGTCCGTCTATCCGGCCATATGAGCGCCTAGTACTCAGAGACTATAAGAGCTAGAGCAACCAAATTTGGTATCCACACTCCTGTGATATCGCACCTGCACAAGTGTATTCCAAAATTTTGCAAAGACCATTGGCTACGCATCCATTAGGTGTCACTATTAGGGATGAGCGGGCAAACAAGTGTTTTTGAGCGTATGTATTGCGAATTACAACTCAGCTCAGCACCATCAATATTTAGTCCTTGTACCCTGATTCACTATAGATCTAAAAAATAGAGGTCCCATCAATGATATTTCATGATAATATTTTCAAGCTGAAAGCTGTGAGTTGAGGCGGAGCCGCCTTCTCTTGGCTTTCAAGACCCACTCTCCGACTCCCGAGTTCAACAAATCTGTCTCGTCGTTATTGATTTCGAACTTCACCTCAAAAGTTATTTGGTTTCTTCTTTCGCTTCCTACCTCTTGCTCTATCCTCTCTTTCACTGGTCTTGGCAATTTTCTGCTGAAGACTGTTAGGATACAAATCGAAGTGCTCAGACAGCTCAATAATTTCGGGCAGAGGCCCGGAGTGAACGAAACGAAAAAAAGCTGTTGGGATAGTGTCGCCGACAAGCAAAACTCGGACAATATTAGTAATTAACAGACATTTTCATCGGAAGTTTCTTTCGTGACGTCAAAGGTCGCCTGACAGCTGGTGCGGGGCTGAGAGAAGCTGTCAAAAAGATTGCTGCGCACTGTTTATCTCAAAAACAACTTTAATGCAGCTTCACTTAAATTAGAGTAAGGCTTTAAGCTATCGTACTTTTCATTTTCCTTTGTCTTTGTGGTCTTTGTCAGTAGCGGGTATAAGGTGGAGGGGTGGAGCAAGGCCCCCTAGATAAGCTGTCCCAAGAGTCCCAAGTCCAAAGCTTGGCAAAAGCACTATTATGTACTATGACTGCATTGCATTTTTATAACCATCAACAATGTGCCCTCATGCAGATACGAGTACATGGCTACACATATGTAGATAGATCTACAATCACATGTCCACAAATATATTGGGTGGCGCTACACATACATATGTGTACTCATCCCAGGCACATGCACATAGCACATATTATTACCAGGGACAAAAATTAAACAAAAACCCAGAAGGGGAAGTCTAAAACTGGAGATGTGCTCAGCTCAAATACCCTGTCTGGTATGGCTCCATGGGAATGCCATGCATGCATCGATTCAAAGTAAATCAATTTTGGATTCGAGCAATGTTGGTAACGAACAACGACGTTTTGTAAATACATATCCGACTTAATGACAATAATATCGTATTTTTTGCATGACCTCGTATAATGGAGTAATGCTAAAACATCGCTGGATGTCCTTGATCTTTCGGCAAAGTAGAGTATTTTTTCTGAGACAGGCATTACTGATTTGTCCAAAATAAGTAGTGCGAACTCAGAGCTATCTGCCCATTGTATAGGTTTTTCTCATTGGGTTTCTCTTTAAGAGAATATTATTAGAATATTCATTAGATTATTCACACTGAAAGAATATATAATATAATATAGAAAAAAATGTAAGTATTTTGAATACGGCCCATGTTTAATCCAAAAATAAAACACATCTACAAAAAAATAAAATATTAAATTTGTAGGAGTGATCTTTAGTGAGTTCCCGACAAGTAAGTAAAAATCTGCTCCAGATACTCCGTAGAAAGGTGCACCAAACTTCATTCATTGGGGTATAATATTTTTTGATCGTGTTAATTAGATGAATGTAAAGATCTCTTCTTGTTCCTGCTGCAGCTGTAAAATATACTGATCCTCTACAAGTTTTACCAAATCACCGTAATACTCATTTGCCTAATTTTTTTTCCCCGTCAAAGTCTTGAAGGGAAATATCTTGGCACTTCTCGGAGAAGGGAAGTTTATCAACGACTGTATCCTGCAAACATGTTTGTACCAGGCTTTCGGATCTTCTGCGCAAAACTTGTTTAACATTATTGTGACGACCCTTTTCATTCGTTGACACATACTTAAACGTGGTTATTCTCTTTCTTACTCAACTCCATCGGTCCAATATGGTCAATATAATACGTTTTCAAAGGCCCATTGGATTTTTCGATTACATTAAAATACACTTCTTTCTTTCAAAAGTTCGCGTCGCTCAAAATGCAAACCACACAAGACCTAAAAATCCTATCCACTTTCCCCATCAACAGTGGATTGTATCCATCCTAGATTGTATAACAATCAACTCTTCAGCTGCATCCTTGCACAAAATGTCATGCTTCAAATAAAAGTCGGTGTGTAAAAGAGAGGAAATGAGTAAGCGCGCGGAATTGGTTCATTCGGGCTATATCTGTATCTGATCCAGATTCAATAGTCTGGTAGAAATGGTCATTCTCTACTCGAAGTGTTTGATTTTCTCGTATTTTTTTAATTTTGGATGTCACAGACTTTCTGCCTTTGTGCGGTATTTTTGAAATACACTTGTAACAGTGCGGTATCACAGGAGTCTGTATACAACATTTAATTGCTCTAGCTCTATGGACGGACAGACCGACAGACAGACGTAGCTATATCGACTCGGCAATTGATGCTGATCAATATATACATATGTTTTATGGGGTCGGAAACGCTTCCTTCTGGGTGTTAAACACATCCATTGATCCATACGATTACTCGATTGAATGCGCTCCGGGTTTCAGCAACAGAGAAGAATCGAGAAGACGGCTTTCGAATATGACTGAGGAAGAACGGGTATCCGTACGAGTGAAAAATTCGGTTAAAAGAATCCAGAATATTGCTTGTTTCCGTATTTACATCTACTGCATCTACGCGCTAAAAGTGTTAAGCCGATAATATGAAACCATGGGGGCCAGGAAGAACCGAAAAAAAAGCATTGAGGCAGTTGAACTTGTGACTTCAAAAAATCACTAATTGGGCAATCTAGACTCGAGTGAAGGGCCTGCAGCCAAACTACTTCAACACGGCTCATGTCACACAGAAAAAAAATTCGGCGACCCTTTCGAGGGCTTGTCTAGACAGAGTACAAAATAAGTAGAGTCAGAGGGCGAGACTTGAAGACAAAATGCCTATAATTCAAGGATCTAGGTTTACAATTTCACAAATCGCAGAATAACTCGATTCTCTAATAGTTGTTGTAGACAAACTCGCTGAGAAGGGGGTTAGCAGGGCCGTCGCCTCCCGAACCGCCTCCGCCGCCGGCTCCAGTGGATCCTTCTTGCATGTTGCGTAACATGCGGTGGCGGAAGTGCATGGAGCGCAAACGCTGCATACGCCGCTTCAGATTGCAGTACACGGGACAGCAGTCGGGAAAGGGCTTGTACATGAGCTCCTCCTCGTCGCCCTGCTCACATTGGTCGGGCAGAATGTCCAGGCAGCTGGAGGAAACGTTGGGCATAGGATAAGGTATTAGTTCAGATTCGTTTGGTTTAGAATGGTTAAAGGAATGGCTCGGAATTGCTCATGCAGGATGGTGGGATGCACATGCAGATCTAGGTACGAGTATATATGTATGTAGTATATAATTAAATTGGTCAACTACTCATTCGGTCTAGACACTTTTTCCACTACGAAAATAGACCTGGAACGGGGTATTATGTGGTTGTTCTCGCAAAATAGATTGGAGCACAGGCTGAGCAAGACCAGGCGACGTGGTAGGAACTTTGACTGCTCCCACATGCAGCGGCGGAAGGTTCCTGCACAACAACAAACAAACACAGTCAGTTTGAGTCGGAGCCCGGACAGAGCAGCCGGACACCCGTAATTGAGCACTCACGCAGCACGCTGTTGTCGTTCTCCCCGGAGTCCTCCTGGGCGTTGTAGTTACGCTGCATCTGGTAGTGCTTCATGTGGAACTGGCCAAAGCCCAGGCAGCCAACGAGGGCCAGGCTCAGCAGGACCCAGATCTTCTCCAAATTGTACATCTCTGTGATTCGGCGGGCGTGTATAAACTACGCGCTAAGCTCACACCACACAGACCCTTAGAGAAAAAAGCGGAGCAGAACAGAACAGAACAGAGTACATCAGTAAAGCGAGCAGAGCGTGGCACAGCTATTATTTAGTCGGCATTATGTATACGCAACGTCGGACAGTCTTTTCTCTGTGCTCGTTGTGTGTGTGCAGATTCATTTTTTTAAATTGTCGTTTGTGCCACGGCTCTTGATTAAATCAAGAAAAACATTGCAACGCAAATTTTTGCGTTTTACCCATGCCCATGTCCCATGCTCCAGCCCGGCAAGCTGATGCCCGTGATTAATGCCCCCAATCCAATCCAGGTCCAATTGCGATTTGATGCCTTGTCACATCGCATGAGAAACAAACCCCAGAGATTGGACTAAAACAGTTTGTCATAATAATCGTTTATTTCCCAACAAGCGCAATAATGTCAAGTGCAAGTTTAGTGAACCATTAGAATGGATTCACTAAAGGAAGCAGGGATCCATCCATTCCAATGGGGAAGGTCTAAACAGATCTGATGGTATTTAATTGATGTTCACGGTATGTATACGTATACGTATACACCTATTCAAGAGTTACCTATAACCTTGAAAGTGATTTCTTAAATGGGACCTTCCCATAAAGCCGTATTGACTTGGCTTGACCTTGACCCTAGGAACTTTAAATGGATAGTGCCAAGAGGGTTTTAACATCTTTGGTTTTTAGGATTAACTTTCCTCCCTTAGCTAGTTCTAAACCTTAAACCTTTATACGATCGTACATCGTCACATATTTGTATCAGATACTCAGTCGAAGGTCTTTTTTCGGTTTCGCTATACACCAAATTAGGAAATTGATTAGCAAATTGTCAAATTTACAAAATTCGCGCTGACTTAGTATAGTGCAAGCAATTGGAAGCCCATTACTACCTCTTCCATTTACAAGTATTTTATACTCAAGGCGTACAGGCGCACATTAGACTAGTGCAGAAAGCGCATGTATCTCTCCACTCGAGAGATATACCGACGGGTTGTACTTTGGAAGAGAGAGAAGGAGAGCTGGAGTATATCTCATTAGTCCCCATCCGCTAGCTACGTGTAGCTAAAACCTATTTTCCGGAACTTAGTTGTGGAACCAGGAACTTTTCTGCAAAAAGCAACTCATTTGAAATATACATATATATATTTTTTTTTTACCGGATTTGTTGTTTACCAACACCAGTTTAAATACAAAATTCAAATTATGGATGGACTAAACTATATTGATTACAGACTATAACTATTATCTGCTAATTCGGTAATTCATTTTCGTTTCTGGTGCAAGAGATGCCTCATTTAAAGATCAAAGATTCGTGAGTAAAAATCAATTCATTTCTTCACTGAAAGATGCTTCTGCTGTCGCTACGGGTGCATCTGTTGATCCATCGGATGTACTTATCTGTCTTTGTACGATTATCTTCTTCTGTATGGATATGTGCATCTGTCAGTTATGGTCTGGTTTATTCATAAGTGCATCTGATGAATCATCTGATATTACATCTGTTGGGTCATCTGATGGGACGTATCTGATGGTTCATATGTTGCTGCATCCGTAAGTGCATCTGATGTTTTATATTCTGTTGAGTCTATTCTTGAGACGGTTGATGCATCTGATGGTTCATCTGTTGCTGTATCTGTTGTTGCTGCATCTGATATTGATTGTTCTGTTGAGTCTATTCGCGAGACGGTTGCTGTATCTGTTGATTCATCTGTTGCTGCATCTGTAAGTGCATCCGTAAGAGCATCTGATGTATTATATTCTCTTGAGTCTATTCGTGAGACGGTGGATGTATCTGATGGTTCATATGTTGCTGCATCCGTAAGTGCATCTGATGTTGTATATTCTGTTGAGTCTATTCGTGAGACGGTTGATGTATCTGTTGATTCATCTGTTGCTGCATCTGTAAGTGCATCCGTAAGAGCATCTGATGTTTTATATTCTGTTGAGTCTATTCGTGAGACGGTGGATGTATCTGATGGTTCATATGTTGCTGCATCCGTAAGTGCATCTGATGTTGTATATTCTGTTGAGTCTATTCGTGAGACGGTTGATGCATCTGATGGTTCATCTGTTGCTGTATCTGTTGTTGCTGCATCTGATATTGATTGTTCTGTTGAGTCTATTCGCGAGACGGTTGCTGTATCTGTTGATTCATCTGTTGCTGCATCTGTAAGTGCATCCGTAAGAGCATCTGATGTATTATATTCTGTTGAGTCTATTCGTGAGACGGTGGATGTATCTGATGGTTCATATGTTGCTGCATCCGTAAGTGCATCTGATGTTGTATATTCTGTTGAGTCTATTCGTGAGACGGTGGATGTATCTGATGGTTCATATGTTGCTGCATCCGTAAGTGCATCTGATGTTGTATATTCTGTTGAGTCTATTCGTGAGACGGTTGATGTATCTGTTGATTCATCTGTTGCTGCATCTGTAAGTGCATCCGTAAGAGCATCTGATGTTTTATATTCTGTTGAGTCTATTCGTGAGACGGTGGATGTATCTGATGGTTCATATGTTGCTGCATCCGTAAGTGTATCTGATGTTGTATATTCTGTTGAGTCTATTCGTGAGACGGTGGATGTATCTGATGGTTCATATGTTGCTGCATCCGTAAGTGCATCTGATGTTGTATATTCTGTTGAGTCTATTCGTGAGACGGTTGATGTATCTGTTGATTCATCTGTTGCTGCATCTGTAAGTGCATCCGTAAGAGCATCTGATGTTTTATATTCTGTTGAGTCTATTCGTGAGACGGTGGATGTATCTGATGGTTCATATGTTGCTGCATCCGTAAGTGCATCTGATGTTGTATATTCTGTTGAGTCTATTCGTGAGACGGTTGATGTATCTGTTGATTCATCTGTTGCTGCATCTGTAAGTGCATCCGTAAGAGCATCTGATGTTTTATATTCTGTTGAGTCTATTCGTGAGACGGTGGATGTATCTGATGGTTCATATGTTGCTGCATCCGTAAGTGCATCTGATGTTGTATATTCTGTTGAGTCTATTCGTGAGACGGTTGATGTATCTGTTGATTCATCTGTTGCTGCATCTGTAAGTGCATCCGTAAGAGCATCTGATGTTTTATATTCTGTAGAGTCTATTCGTGAGACGGTTGATGCATCTGATGGTTCATCTGTTGCTATATCTGTTGTTGCTGCATCTGATGTTGATTGTTCTGTTGAGTCTATTCGTGAGACGGTTGATGTATCTGTTGATTCATCTGTTGCTGCATCTGTAAGTGCATCCGTAAGAGCATCTGATGTATTACATTCTGTTGAGTCTATTCGTGAGACGGTGTATGAATCTGATGGTTCATCTGTTGCTGCATCCGTAAGTGCATCTGATGTTGTATATTCTGTTGAGTCTATTCGTGAGACGGTTGATGTATCTGTTGATTCATCTGTTGCTGCATCCGTAAGTGCATCTGATGTTGTATATTCTGTTGAGTCTATTGGTGAGACGGTTGATGTATCCGATGGTTCATCTGTTGCTGCATCCGTAAGTACATCTGATGTTGTATATTCTGTTGAGTCTATTCGTGAGACGGTTGATGTATCTGTGGCTGCATCTGTAAGTGCATCCGTAAGTGCATCTGATGTATATTCTGTTGAGTCTATTGGTGAGACGGTTGATGTATCCGATGGTTCATCTGTTGCTGCATCCGTAAGTACATCTGATGTTGTATATTCTGTTGAGTCTGTTCGTGAGACGGTTGATGTATCTGTTGATTCATCTGTTGCTACATCCGTAAGTGCATCTGTTGTTGTATACTCTGTTGAGTCTATTCGTGAGACGGTTGATGTATCCGATGGTTCATATGTTGCTGCATCCGTAAGTGCATCTGATGTTGTATATTCTGTTGAGTCTATTCGTGAGACGGTTGATGTATCTGTGGCTGCATCTGTAAGTGCATCCGTAAGAGCATCTGATGTATTATATTCTGTTGAGTCTATTCGTGAGACGGTTGATGCATCTGATGGTTCATCTGTTGCTATATCTGTTGTTGCTGCATCTGATGTTGATTGTTCTGTTGAGTCTATTCGTGAGACGGTTGATGTATCTGTTGGTTCATCTGTTGCTGTATCTGTATGTGCATCTGATGTTTTATATTCTGTAGAGTCTATTCGTGAGACGGTTGATGCATCTGATGGTTCATCTGTTGCTATATCTGTTGTTGCTGCATCTGATGTTGATTGTTCTGTTGAGTCTATTCGTGAGACGGTTGATGTATCTGTTGATTCATCTGTTGCTGCATCTGTAAGTGCATCTGATGTTGTATATTCTGTTGAGTCTATTCGTGAGACGGTTGATGTATCTGTGGCTGCATCTGTAAGTGCATCCGTAAGAGCATCTGATGTATTATATTCTGTTGAGTCTATTCGTGAGACGGTGGATGAATCTGATGGTTCATCTGTTGCTGCATCCGTAAGTGCATCTGATGTTGTATATTCTGTTGAGTCTATTCGTGAGACGGTTGATGTATCTGTTGATTCATCTGTTGCTGCATCCGTAAGTGCATCTGATGTTGTATATTCTGTTGAGTCTATTGGTGAGACGGTTGATGTATCCGATGGTTCATCTGTTGCTGCATCCGTAAGTACATCTGATGTTGTATATTCTGTTGAGTCTATTCGTGAGACGGTTGATGTATCTGTTGATTCATCTGTTGCTGCATCCGTAAGTGCATCTGATGTTGTATATTCTGTTGAGTCTATTGGTGAGACGGTTGATGTATCCGATGGTTCATCTGTTGCTGCATCCGTAAGCGCATCTGATGTTGTATATTCTGTTGAGTTTGTTCGTGAGACAGTTGATGTATCTGTTGATTCATCTGTTGCTGCATCCGTAAGTGCATCTGATGTTGTATATTCTGTTGAGTCTATTCGTGAGACGGTTGATGTATCCGATGGTTCACCTGTTGCTGCATCCGTAAGTGCATCTGATGTTGTATATTCTGTTGAGTCTATTCGTGAGACGGTTGATGTATCTGTTGATTCATCTGTTGCTGCATCTGTAAGTGCATCCGTAAGAGCATCTGATGTATTATATTCTGTTGAGTCTATTCGTGAGACGGTTGATGCATCTGATGGTTCATCTGTTGCTGCATCCGTAAGTGCATCTGATGTTGTATATTCTGTTGAGTCTATTGGTGAGACGGTTGATGTATCCGATGGTTCATCTGTTGCTGCATCCGTAAGTGCATCTGATGTTGTATATTCTGTTGAGTCTATTCGTGAGATGGTTGATGTATATGATGGTTCGTCTGTTGCTTCATCTGTAAATTCATCTAATGTTGTATATTCTGTTGAGTCTATTCGTGAGACGGTTGATGTATCCGATGGTTCATCTGTTGCTGCATCCGTAAGTGCATCTGATGTTGTATATTCTGTTGAGTCTATTGGTGAGACGGTTGATGTATCCGTAAGTGCATCTGATGTTGTATACTCTGTTGAGTCTATTCGTGAGACGGTTGATGTATCCGATGGTTCATATGTTGCTGCATCCGTAAGTGCATCTGATGTTGTATATTCTGTTGAGTCTATTCGTGAGATGGTTGATGTATCTGATGGTTCGTCTGTTGCTTCATCTGTAAATTCATCTAATGTTGTATATTCTGTTGAGTCTATTAGTGAGTCTGTTGGTTTTTTAATGTTTCATCGTTTATATGAGGTGCATCGTGGTTGTATCTGATAGTGCTTTTAAAATGTGCATATGTTTGTGAGTTCGTTGATATATCTTTTATTAACTGTTCGCAGCTAGCTGTTGTCTTTACTACAGAAAATTATATTGTACCCTATGAACTATCTGCTGATGAGATGCCCCGACTGCTGTCCCTTTGCTTTATGTGGTTATGTAATTTTTTGTCGTTTATATTGCGATACCTTTTTGGGTTTGACTTGTTGACACTGTTGTAGCGGGTGCTTTGGAGGTGCTTTCGCCACTTGTTGAGTCCTCTGAGGTCGCTAATGGCGTACTGGAGATCGTAGCGTTGGTTGTACCGTTTCCGGTCGCTAAACTGTCGGAAACTCCCTCGGTGGATTGTTGTGTACTGACTGTCGATGGCCAAATAGTGTATGCCGTTGGTGCTGTTGGTGGTGGTGGCGTTGTGGTGGTCGGCTGGGGGGGCAAGGGCATGCTCATGGCGCTGCAGTATAGATCATTGCACAGTGGATAGCTGTTCTTTTCCTTGATGCGGAAATGGCAATCGAAAACGCTAGGACGTAACGGAAAGTAGTTGTAAGCTACTTGGGAGATACTGGACGGAGATGGCATAAGTTTCACCCACCTCAATTGGTGTCTGTTGCTGCAGCTGAATAAGCATAGGAAATAGGCGGGAAATATGCCAATCTGTTTCTCGCACCAATGCTGGGAGCTTTGTACTATAATTGTGGGTGGTGGGAGGTGGGAGGGCAGAGGATTAGTGGCAAAAGTTTTCGGTGGCAGCTGCCGTTGTGGGTTGGGCACTTACCAGCGGCTTCATATCGCTTGCAGTAGTACGACTGCGGCTGCGAACCTGTGAATATACAAATATCAGAGAGAAGCGTGGCATATTTCGGGAGGCAGCTAGTTGGCAGACCCCCATGAAAGACTGTTTCTAACTTGCTACCACGGCGGCTACCACGAGCAGCAGCGGAATGAAAACTATAAGTTGCATGTCAGCCTTCTTGAGTGCAAGTTGCAAGCTGCAAGCGGCAAGCGGCAAGTGCCTAAATGAATATCCACAGCTTCGGCCAAAGCCCGAAAAGAAAACGGAAAGCACGGAAGTAGAAACACAATTTTTGAAAGTTCGACTGGGAGTTGGAGAGACTCGCTAGGAGTTTGCCAGTAGCTTCCTCTCTGATCTTGCTCCTCCCCGTGATGTGGGGCCCGACTGGAAACAGAATAAGACGTTCCGGTAGCAAAGGCGTTTTATTTATACTCGGGTGTACGCTTTCAACTGTCTGAAAATCGTATAAATAATTTCGTGGCTTCTTTTCCTTTGCCACTTTTGAAGTAAGCACTACCGAAAATGATTACAAACTTTTCCAAATGACATCGTAAAAAGTTAAATAAGTTTTTAGCAGCAACTCGAACAACACCAACAGCAACACCAACACCAACACCAACACCAACAAAAATAAAAACAAAAACAAGTAACAAGTAAAAGTGGCAGCAACAAGACTGTAAGACGACTCGATAAGTGCTAGAAAATTCCATGCGTAATTGCATTCTGAATATTTATTCGTTGGAGCAGCACCAACTTCTCCCTCTGTCCACTCCCCACCACTGCACAGTGGTTGCACTTATACTCATATACATATATATATACAGATACCGAACCAAAATACTTCCCGTGGACATATCGAGCTACAATTTTTAGGTTGATGCAGACTAAAACTGTAGTTTTTTCGCTGTTTATACATATTTAATATTAAGTAAAACCTCTAAGGCGATAAAACCGCTTGTATATACATACATACATGGGTTTCGGAAGATCGAGGATTCGTTGGATATCAGAAGACCGCAAATATCAGCGTGTCTAGAAAGCTGGTCAGTCCTCGTTGTTGCCATTCTGTCAAAGCAATTCTAATGTTTTACAAATTTAATTAATACATTTTTGGAACTCAGTCGGGCTGTCACATATCCGTTATCTTCAATGTCTTGCACCACGGCATCCAGCGCATTTTGAACATTTTTGAAAGGAGTACGGATTCGTCACACCAAATCTCTAAAACATGTTATCGGGAAATGCCTAGAAAATGAAACTACGCCAAAAAAAACAACAAAATAACCAAGAGATGTTGGTGTAAAGGGCAAAGGAGATCTTTGTAGTCTAAAATTGTTTAACAACACTGGCTAAACATACAGCTGATTGCTCAAACCTTACAGTGCTTTATTTGATTGGTTCCGAATCTAGCGATTCTGTCTAGATAAATAAGTTTCTATCATCATAAATTTGAGGTCAAGTGTTCATTGGCTGTTTTTCATGGTTCAAACAAAGTCGGATCTAGTTTTAACTTAAATTGTGGGTATGTATGTAATCATATGATCCGTGTACTTGTATGACCCTAAACAATAGGAGATGTATTTCGTGATTCAGCCTTATCATTCATTCAAGAGGAGCCCAAGGCCAAGTGGACATTTACAATGATATTTTTCATCTAAGTGGCAAAAAACTTCCCAAAAAATGTGTCTTATTTGGATTATTAATGGCCCCTTTTCAGCTGCAAGAAGCTGAGAAATCCACTCCATGGTCCTTACTTATGTCCCATGGAGCCTGTTTGAGGAATTACAATAAGAAATAAGATTCAGAAATCGAAGAAGCGTTACTGCTTACGTGTGTAGGACAGCAATACCTTGAATACCTCTAGAATTCAAAGCTCTAATGATATTTTTCAGCTGTAATATTCGAATTTTACTTGAAGAACCTGAAGACTACCTGAATCATTTCTGTGAGTTACTTAATTTTTAAAGGATAGAAAGTTATAAAATTACGTTTTATCAAAGACTATTGTATAGTCTTTGGTTTTATTCTTTAACTGAACAGTGCTTCAAATTATAGGTGATCGAACTGGAATGATGAGGGTAAATGTGTACAAATACACTAACAACAATCGGACGGACATAAAAAAACATACAGAATTAGAAGAGTTTGAGAGTATTTTGTTTGTAGCTATATGTCTTGTCTATCCTGTGTACGTAAAATGAAAACATAAACTCAATTTGGACGTTAAAAGTACGAAAAGTGTATGCCAATATATCGGGCTGCACTATAAGAGCTTTTGCAACTTTGTTTCGTGCGCATACCTAAACGATTAAAACCCCATATAAACATTTGAGAGAGAGTGTAATGTGTAACAAAAGATCCATATACATCTGTACATGGATAGAAGCTTTACTGTGGGCAATCTGTGCTTCCTTTGGTGCCGTTTTCCTCGAATCTTTACAAATGAAACATTCAAAATTATGTCTATTTTGTATAATGTTAACCTGTCCTGCAACCGAGTCGTAATCAGTGTTATCATAGAAGATAGAACCAAATTCCTTTCTCCAGAAGCTCATACTTGTACTCCCGAAAAGCATTCGATTTTTTGTGTAGTCACGCATAGTTATACTAATTTAAAATGTCTTTAAAACGCAAAGCTCCACCAGCTCCAAAACGCACCATCGTACTCCGCAAGAATGCAAAGAGCTCAAAGACCCTGCTGTGGAATACATATTTAGAGCAGGGAACAATTAAGTTTGTTAAAGTTAAAAGTTTCTAGCGACAACATTGTCTGCTCCGACCTTTTGTTTTCACATGGCTATTGTCACCCCAAATTCCGCCCCCTCCCCGCGTGCGGCTGTTTTCCACTTGGCCAACCGCACTAAGCCGTATCGCTTGCCTTGGCTGGATGAACAAGGCTGCGGGGTACCAGTGGTAGTGGGGGCGAGTAGATAGCTGTACTCGTACGTGCTGTTGCGAAAGGCGTAAACTGTATTTTTATGAAACTGGGCAAACAATTACCCCCAGCGACTAGCGTCCGTTATGGGGGAGAGACAGGAGCAGATTGAGAGAAGTTGTTTGGGGTATCACACTCTCTGCTGGAGACAGAGACAGAGACAGGGAATTGGGAGATGAACAGCTGTACTGCCCACTCCACTCCTCTGGGCGAGTCAGTTACCCTATTTTGGGCTCGAGTCAATTAGAATACTAATTTGTATGCAAATATTTGTGAATTGAATAAGGTTAAGTTTTTCTCGCCAGTGGTGTGTGTGTTCCCGTATCTGTTCCTGAGCTCGGTTTATTCGTCCCTTTGTTAGTCCTTTATTATGGTGACGTCCCGTGGCCGGAAATCCACTAAGAGCTAGCCGCGGAGAGGAGCAAAGGAAATTACCAGCATGATGGACTAAAACAGCGGTGGGCATTCTGTTTGAACCACCACAGCAAAAATCCCCTATCAGCGCAACTCGAGCCGGTCATCACTGTGCTGCGTCATGCACACACAATATATGTTGTTGTACAGTCGCAGTAGAAAACGTCGTGAAATTCTTAGGCAGATCTAGTGGAAAGGAAAATAGATTACAAAAAAAAAATGTCTTCAAGATGATAATTTTCTGGAATCTTATTAAAGCTAGAAGAAGAAGAAGCTTAAATGGATTAATCCATTGAAATAAAGTTTTCTTTGTTATTTAATTTTTAATACTTATATAATTATCAAAAAGTAATTAGTAACTTTTCTGTTTTTCAAATTATCTTTAGATTTAAAAGCTGGGCTGGTTGTTGGGCTTTGGAAGTGGTTGAAACGACCAATCTAGCGACAGCCACGCTCTGAAATTTCATGCATTTGTGACTTCTCGGTGGTCTTCGCAATGTTATCCTATTCGTCTAATTTGTATTTCTAGTTGTTGCTTAATCAATTTCCAATAAAACTACGTACCAATTTCTTTTAATATCATAGACATATAATAAGATATAAATTATTTATAAAATCACACGTTTGTAACTCTTTGGATTTTGAAAGAATGTTAGAAAAAATATAAATAAATAGAAAACAGACTTTTTGCAATCCGTTGACCCGTTGTATCCGGCACAGTTCTCCGTAGAACAGGAGGACGATATACCGAAAAGTGATGTATTGCCATCGTACTGAGTATCCCAGTACTAAATTATGATAAGGTAATGCAATCTATATATAAAACTTTATTTGCCGGTGAAAAAAAGTGTATAGGTTACAAATGTAAACAGAAGTTCTCTAAATAAATTTCTTTCGCTTAAGTTTAAATTACTTATGGTACCTGTCCAAATTTCTGCATTTTAATCGGGTGTTTTTCCCGATATATTAATGAAATATCAATGCATAACCTTGAACAAATTTTAAGACGTTTCTATGTTAAACCCAGTATCAGTTTGTAGTTTGGTTCGCTCTGATTATAAAATACTAAAATACTATTGTTCTTGGTTTGCAGTTTTATTTTTAATGAATTTTTGTAGTTTCATTGTCTGGCTTATATCTTCAACCTTCAAATCTTCCCGGAATTCAGAAATTGCAAGTCTGCTTTAGAAAATGATTCAGAATAAAATTTTATATTTTGTTACTAGTCATTAGAAACAGGGACCGTAAATTATTTTTTTATTATTATTATTATTATTATTATTATTATTATTATTATTATATCGGTTGTGGCATGCATATATCGTGTTAGACAGTTCACAGCTATTCAATTACAACAAATTCATTAGCTAAAAAGTCCTCGAATAGCTTATTGAGAAAATGAAGATTTTTATTTCATTTTCATCTTAATTTTATTCCGCCAGACCACTCAAATGGCCCACTGTGCGCTGATACGAATTCTCTATCCTGACAAAACCGATGAATGGCTTCCTGATGCCGTATCGCCACTTTTCGTATCATATTTGACAGCCGCTTCGACTTATTTTTTCAGAATCTGAAGCAGAATAATAGAGCTTATTTTCCAACACTCGTTTTTGGTTTCCTTGGACCGAGTCATGGCCCCAGTCTCGAGCCAACAGACATGTAATTTCTTCGTGCTCTTGGACATTCCCTTTTTCGAACCGAAATCAAAGTAATGAACACGGCTGATTTGAGTTATTTAAGTAGAGAATGATCAATGGAGCAATGGAGACTATTAATTGGAAAGCGATGATCAGCAAAGAACTGAGGTTTAAGGGCCTCAGTTCTCTCGAAGACACCTCCTTCAGTCAAATCAAATAACCAGTTTTTCATATCAGTTAACCATATTTATTAAATCAGACAGCATGTAGTCGCGGAAAAACGTAAAAAAAAACGTATGGGGTAGTCAGCAGAGGAAGCAGGAGAAGAAGATTACACATAAGACAGCTGGACCGCCGTGCACGAGATGTCAGAAGTTCTGCTGCTCGTGACCGAAGAACGTGAACGTCTCGTTACAGCGTATTTCGTAGCAGTCCGGGAACGACGTGAAGTGCCTCGATAAGCGCAGATCGAAAATGAATTCGCAGTACGGGTAACTGCAATCAGAGAGCAAACACTGAAAACTTGGCTATATCTGGATGCAGGTAATGTTCTGTGTGTGTATGGATGGGGTGGGTGCTTGGAGCAGCAAAAAATAGGAAAAGCTTATAAAATATTTATTCCGAATGGCGATGGCGATGGCGATGTGGATGGCACTAGCACCTTTCCCCGCCACGGAAAAAAACGATACAAAACGATATGAAACTGCTTGCAGCCATTTTAATTGCTATGCAATTCAAATGCCATATACGTATGTACAGTGGACATTTCCATCGCAGAATTTGGGTGGATAAAAGTCCTGGAATTGTGAGTGTTCACAGAAGGGAGCTATCACTGTATGTGTGCATGTGTATGCGTGTAGCCCAAGTCCAAAAAGCAAACCCGAAGAAAAAGCCAAATAAGTTTATTTTAAAATGCAATTCACACCACAAAATAACAGAGGCATGCATAAATTGTATGTTGTGTGTGCGTGTGTGTGAGTAGAGGAGCAAGGGGGAGCATTGGGGAGCAATAGGGGGGGGGGGGGGTGATGGGCGGTGATGGGGTGTATATTTCAATGCCAATACTGATGTGCTTTAATGAGTGCGAGTGAGTCAGAGTGAGTGAGAGTGAGTGATTGCATAACTTACATCGGCGGAAACCAGAGGAAGCAGCGGTATGTGCAGAGTATACCAAATGGTCGCTTAAATTCACCATCTGCCGTTTGAATCGAGCCAGAGTTGTGCTTCCTCCAGCACTGTGAGGCCCAGCCTGTGGATGGTACTCAAATATGGTCACACACCCGTACACGTACGACTTTATGTGAGTAAGTGCTAAGCAACCAATCTGTTTGCCAGACCCATCTCGGGGATCTTGGCTAAGGACGGGAAGGACTTCGACAGCCAATTAAGCCGAATATTTTTCTCGTGTTTCTCTCAGGTCGGCAAACAGCTTGGACTCGACAATTAATATGAATTCGATAAAGAGAGCAGGAGGCGGTCCCCCTCCCATTCTGCACAAAAATCGTATGCGAACAGTTGCAATGAATTTTCAGTTTGCATATTATTTTTGTTGAGTCTTGGTCCTACTGAGCTGACTATTCTTTCATTCTTCTCACAAATTCTGAAGTGAAATTTATATGAAAGACTTGTATGCATTTAAAAAACCTTTGGAACTATTTTTTTTCTCTTTTATCAGTAGACAAGTTGGAATATATTTTTCGGGAAAGTTTGCATTGAAAGCGGAATATAAGTCTGTATGTGTATGCATTTTGAGGATATTGAATTTCGTATTGTTTTCATAGCATTTTCCACCATTTCTGTCGTCATACGGTCCTGAGTTCACAAGATCTTTATTGTCTTTATTCAATCGTGCGGAACCCGACGTACGAGTATCACCCATTTTATATAGAAATTTAAAACACTCATACGCACTAGGGCCGAATTCTAGCCCAATTTCGGCAAAACACTTGAAAAAAAATCAAAACAAAAACAAACAAAAATATCTAGAAAGGAGGCAGATGGCGGGGTTTACGTACTTCCATAGTTGTAATCGCACAAGCAGCAGAGGACCAGCAGCAGCACAAATGTGACTGTTGTGGTGCCCCTGCGTGTATGTATGGTTGTGGCAGTGGCAGCGGCTGTGGCGCTTCCCTTGGTGTTTCGCGCTGGTGCCACCGATTTGGCCATTGCGCAACAATCGAAAGTACAACCCCCGTCCGAGTCGAAGTCCGTTTGTGCCATATAGCGGCTGTGAGTGCCTGCGAGGCTTTGAGTGCTTCACGTGAATGCCTCGGCGCGCTGCTTAACTGCAGCCTGCGATGGGTGTCGCGAATGTGCCGAAAATCGCGAGTAAACAGGAGACGCGGCCGGAGCGACAACACCAGCAAATCAAAATGGGAAAGAAATTCCGGAGGTTTGGGGTTGTGTTTCGTTTTTGTGCGCCTCAATTGATGCCAATTGATAAATTATTGTATGCGCTCATGTGGGATGCCTCTTCCGCCTCTTCCGCCCCCTTGGCTTGCCTCCCTTTTGCTGCTCTGTAATATGATTACCAGGTCCGGAGCGAGATAGAAACACTCCATCAACTTCGCTCTCTCACTTTGAATCGTCTGGGTCAGCCTCAGCCTCAGTCTCAGTCGTTTTAGGTTTCTATCTCTCAGTCTCAGTCTCGACTCGGATAAAGCTGCCACTGCCGACACCTTTTTGGGGCCTCAAATACACAGCCATGGGTCATGTTACTGCCAGAGGGAGAGGGACAAGTGCCAAGTGCATCCACCCACCAAATGCAAAACTATAAATAAATATGAACTATAAATATGTATGAACCTCACACAGAAGGCACTCAATAATCGCCCAAAATAAGATTCGAATTTCACAGAAACACCAGCACACGTCCCTTTGTTGGTCAACTCTGACTAAATGAATCACAAATGATTTTTAAAACGGTGTGTATTTCAAACTTTAATTTATACTTATTTATATTACGCGCAGAAACTAGATGGCGGTCGATCAAGGTTCTGTTTGATGGAATCAAATTTTCATTTTCGATCATTGAAAATATACGAGTAGTTCAGGTATCCCGAAAAGGTAGGCCTATTCCACGAATTCAATGCTGAGAAAGACACTTTTATGCTGCGGCATAAAAGATCGCACGATCTTTGTTCATTTTTTGTTTCATCAATGGGCATAGAATAATCACAAAATATAGCGATTTCCGACCGACATTAAAAATGGGCATTTTAATGGAAAACGTCCAACGAAATCAAAAAATTAAAGGTCAAAATACATACAAAATACATATCCATAAAACTCTGTCCCGAAACTATTTTGTAAATTTGTTGAAACTTTACTAATTAAATTCCTTACAATTCATTCTATTTATTAATTGACAAAATGTTTGGTAAAGTCAGATACATTTTAAGGAGACAGTAATGCACATCATTCTGGGGCAAGCTATATCGAAAGATTGCCTCCAATTTTTTACTAAATTCGTCGTATTAGTTAACTTTTTAATTTTTAACTTTAAATGTGTACGACTGGTAGTGGTAGTGGATGTGGATTTGTGTAAGGAAGAAGGAATCAGCATCAATATCCGAATCGATATATGTAGTCATGTTTGTCCGTCCGCCCGTCCCGATGAGCGCCTAAATCTAGACTCTTGTGATATCACGCTTTTACAAACCCATAGAAAGGAAGAAAATCTGTGGCGTCCACAATTTGTAGGATACGAGAAAACCGAGAAAATTAAGAAGCGTAGAAATTTACTATATGTATCTACCAGATTGCCGAATCTGAACTAGATCGGATCAATATTACAGCCAGCATAAACAAATTAAATTGCCACGCGCTTACTCTCTCTTTCTCTCTCTCACTCTTCCACACACTCTTCCTCGTGCAGTGTGCGCCCCTGGCGGAGGGGAGCGAGATGTAACGGCTGGTGTGGGTGTGAGAAGCGAAAACGAGACAGATCTAGCGGAAAAAAGGAGAAAGATAAAATATTTTAAAGTTCGAATCAGATAGGTCATTAGGCGGAAAGGGGACAAACGAAGTGCAAGCCTTAATCCTAGAACATAACTGGTGGTCGTGATTTCTCTCTATATTTCTTCCATCTCTCATGAAAAGTGCGAGGAAAGTAGAGAGAGTCATCGCGGAGAGATGTGTATCTATGAGTAAATATTTACATTGATTGGAAAAGAGTTCGTAGATTTGTACACTAGTAAGTGTGCTTTCTGGCCGGTCTTCGCAAAAACCTTCAAGGTGAGCATTCGAAATGATAGCTTCAAATTGCCCACCAGATGGTTGCAAAACTTTTCGTAATGCTCAATTAATTTGTTCATAACTATTTCAAAATAATCTAATTCCCAGTCCCCAGAAATTGCCGTAATTTGCCAATCAACATTGAAATAGAAGCCAGCCGCAGCCCACGCACCCAAGCCAGCTAAAATGTGATCATGGGAGTAGATGAGTGAATTACGCACTAATTCCAAACCGGCCGATCCGATCCCCAGTCCATCCCCATTACGTTCCCCCATCAACGCACAGAGCACAACGCACAGAGCACAACGCACAACGACCACGACCCAAATCCCAGTGACGAATGCGAGTACACGGACAGAACCGAAATAAACTCGAGCCGAGTTGAGATCACTTGATCTTCTGCTGCGGGGTCCGTTGGCCTTCAGCGATCAATGTCATTTCGTTTGATTCCATTAAAGTGCGGGTCCATCTGGACCAAGCCGAATTCGAGGCGTGTGAGTTGTTTCCACTGTACGGTACCTCCTTCGCTGTGTGTTCCCCCTCTCGCTCTCCACAGCTCGCATACGCGACAGCCACAGCGACAGGGATAGCGATGGCGAAAGCCCTTCTGTGCGGGCCCTGTATTGGTTCAGGTGCGCAAGTTAACAGCTCCATTGAGTGGAGCCACGGAATTTATCTTATTTTTAGCCAGGTTCTGCTAACGCCACCTCCTACCCCACTCTTCGGATACGCATCCATCTCTCTCCCATCCCATCCGAGGGTACACAAATATTCAGGAAACGCTTTGGCATAAGTTTGACTTGCTTATAAATGTCGAACGATTTATTTGCGGCTGTTAGCGGAGGCGAGAAGTTTGCCCGAGCTCAGGTACAGCTCCCGCCTAGTCTAACCGAGTTTGGTTAGCTACCCATCCCAAAACCTCCATCAACTTAAGCGGAAATATCGTTTTTAACCAGGGGGAAGCCAACAAAAAAGATACGGAGAAATAAGATGAAAAAATGACGTCGGTAACAAAGTGTTTCGAATTTGTTTACTACAAGAAGTGAATTGCTTTTTGGCTAGTTTGCAGGTACATATACGCCCAGGGCGTGGCTCACCATCACAAAGGTCTGGTCGATGTCGATGTCGATATGGATGGGCCGGAGAAGAGCCGAAACGGGCCGAAACTGTATCCACTGACAGCCTTAAACTAAGTCAACAAATGAAGTGAAAATGACGTTGGAGGCTGAGGAGGTTCCAGCCAGTTTCACCTAGGCACTCAGACCGAGCTTTGAGTGCAAATTGATTCAAATTCAAATTGATGATCCACCATTAACGGTGCGTTTAAAAGGTTCGTAAGTACGCATTTCAGTTTGTCTTTGTTTCAATAGTAATTCCCTATATTTCCATATAAAATCTAGTAGTAATCAGACTTATTGCTATAAAAAAAAAGCTTAAGACTGCTGCTGAAATAAATACAATAGTTAACAGTATACATATGGCCATATGGCCTGCTATGAAGTGGAGCTGATGGCTCTAGCTAAAATAGTTTAAGAGAGTACACTTGACGTTGGTACAGTCGGGCAGTGAGGTGAACAGCACGCAGGATAATTTATAATCGTAAATGAACTCGCAAGTGGGAAAGCTGTAAGAAGGAAGCAACGGAATGAGAGAGGTCGCTGATGGACACATGCCCCAACGGCTCACCTTGTTGTGAAGAACCAAGTGCACTTGAAGTTGCACAATATGCCATAGGGCTTTTTCAGCTGCTCCTTCTTATTGACAATGGTGTTCTGCAGATTGTAGCCATCATAGCGACGCCAGCAGTGATTGATGTTACCTGGCGGAAGGAACCCTTGAGACAGGACCGAGGACGGCTTTCAGTCACAATGACAGCTACTTACGGCGTATGTGATGGCTCCCGCCGTGGTGGTGGAAGTCACGCCCCTCCAGCTGGCTGCCATGTCCGTTGGTGGCCTCCACGCCTCTGCTGCCGTCGAATAGCAGCAGATACCACAGTACTACGGAGCTGGCGATGAAGATATAAGTCACAAATTTGGCCATTTTCTTTTTCAAGGATTTGGCCTCAATTGGCGTGGTCTGGTTTGGTCTGGTTCGAAGCAGCGCAAGCCCGTTCCTGGATAAACTTCCTATTCTTCTGGTTACTCCCCCGTTTCGTGCAAGTTTCTCTTCCTCTCAGTTGTCGCTGCCTTTCGCCGTGCTCTCTGTCCGTCCGCAGAGCTCTCATATAGTGTGTGTGAGTGGTTATGGCTGTCGCTGTCGCTTTCGTTGCCGCTGCGAATGTCGCCCCTGCACTAAATACATTTTTTGAAAAAGTGAATTTGCTTTGCCCAGAGCTCTGCTGGTCTATGTGCTCCTCCGTTTGTGCAGCGCCGCGTCGCAGTGTTCGTCACTCAGTTCAACGGGCTCCCAGCGCAGTACTGGACACTACTGGACAGCACAGTGGTCCAGCCCGCCTCGGTGCTTCGATGCTGTTTATTTTTGGATCTTTTCGGACACCAGCCGCACAAACTGTCCAATTTGGGCGCGTGTATTTGGTTCGCTCCATCCCGGTCTGTCACTCATTTTGCTAATTTAAATAATCAAATGCGAATTAGCTGCGCCGCTGTGATGCTGTGTATGTGGCTGATGCTGTTGCTGATGCTGATGCTGGTGCTGGTGCTAACAACATGCTCCAAAGGGGCTACGAACCCGTGCACTGAGTGGTTTGTTTTTCCTGTGAATGCAGCTGTGGTTTTTATGCAGGGCCAGCAGATGAGCAAGTTCTGAATCGCATTTAGTGGCAGAATTTCATCTGAAGGTGGAGCAGGAAGGGTAGACACGCAACTAAATTTGTTCGAGTATTCCATTTCATATCTTTCCAAGTTCCCATCGTTTCGAGCGCTCAAAAGCAACATACGGCACCGTGAATATTGTTTTCTTCCTTCACATCATGGAAAAACCAAGTTATAACTTTTGTTCAACAACAATAAAAAACGGTGTAGAGGACGCTTCTAAGTTATGTTCAATTCTCTAAGCACTTTATTGTAATTTAGCCAACAGATAAAAACCAAAATATTCAAGCCCCAAGTACAAAATCAGAATTCCTGTTACATAGAGTAC